AATATAGCTTTTAGTAGATAGGTATTACATAATCATGCATAGCTAATGTTACCAGACGCATCGGAGGTAACAAGTTTTACGACACGTTCGTTCTCATCAGAAAGCGTAACCCGACTCACGTCGATTCCATCCAATATTAGGTAAAAAGACCCTGTCTTATTGACAGGTCATATTTTGTAGTTTTTGTATAATATGGGGCATACTTTTCTAATTTTAGATTAGTGTGAGTGTTAAACCCAAGTTTAATTTATTTTTAATAATTGTATGTAATGCTTAAAATGTAAATGTAAATGTATATTATTGTTTATTAATATTATAATTTATAATCCAGGTTTTTAATTACTTTAACAACCATTATCCCACCCCATATCTCTAATATCAATTATTATTTATAAATACATTTTTTTCACCCACTTAATTAGTTTTTTAGATCATTTTTAAGGTTAATTTTTTGAACTTTTTAGGGCATTTTTGCATTTTTTTGTGTTTTTTAGGTCATCAACATCTTAACTCTACTAATAACCATAATGATAATTATTATTATGGGGACAATAATATAATAATAATAATGGTGATGGTAATTATACTCTCGCGATGTTTGTCGAAACTCACACCTAATTGCGTCTATGATATTTTTCTATTTACGGTAAGATACATCGGTGGGTATATGATGGGTGATGGATGAACTGAAATCTAAAGTATATTTTAGAACTTGAAATACCCTATACGACTATACGTGACTATCCATTTGGTTTAATTTTGTATGTTTGTTAGTTTTGTGCATGCACATATTATGTAAATTTTTCAATGTAAGTACATATTATATAGTTAAGACAACTTTAAAAACTAAACAATTATGAATGGTAATGGCGTATTTTAAATATTAATTTTTAATTGAAAGCAAATTATATAATATTCCATTCGTTATTATATTATTTTTATTAGTCGGATAATTTTGTTCCTATAGAGATAAGCTGTAATATTGAGGTTTTTTTTAAATAAAAATGTGTATTTAAAAACTATTGGACGTAGTAAAATATTTTTAAGTTCGATGAATACAGATTAATTAACGTTATATTTTATACATGAATGCTCTCAAATTGTACCATCGTTTTATCAATCACTTAAATTTAAAAAAATAAAATAAAAATAAAAAAAGAGTTTGACTTCCACAAGCTTAAAGCTAATATTACATATTAGTTATATAAAATCAATTTAAGCATAGTATTAATGTGTATAATTTAGTAAGAGGATTAACGAAGAAAAAGCCTAAAATTGAATTGTTTTGTACGCACGTAAGTTTTGGAGTACACCCATTAACTAGCTATTGTTGACAATCTGTATTTAATGCTTAGGGTATGTGATATATAGAATGTAATAACCACCATGTATAATAATTAGCAAAGTTAAGTACTCGTCAAACATGCTCACACATATTTTATCCTTTAATAATGTATTTATTAAAATTCTAATTTCTCGGAATTCTAAGTGCATGTATTAAAGATCATATTACATCATAAACAGATACTGAATATCTATAACAGAGTTTTCATATACTTTAAGAAATTACAAAATTCTTTTCTTCAAATAAAAACTAAATTTTTAAAAAAATATTTTTTTTTTTTCAAAATGTGAAATGATACATCTTATTTGTAAATTGAACGATTAGTTTTATAGTTATTATGTTATATAATTAATAATTATATCGTGCATATTATAATTATTAATTATAATATGTACGATTTGACATCAAATATACGTAATATATTCAATTAGATTAGTTGAATAACCTGCTTCACTCGACGCTTCTGGGGATCTATCTGAACCGATTGACGAAAAACCGTCAAGTCAACGTCAAAGTTCATGCGCAATCGGCGTACGTGTATCTAGCTTTGTAAAACAATTCAACCTAGATGGGCTACCAAAAATTGAGGATGGATTCGTGTTAGTACTTGGCATATTTTTAAAATTATTTTACAAACTTTTTTGGTATCCTCAAAAAACAATATCTGAAATCTTCGACCAAATTAATTGAGTCATTTTTGAGTATAATTTATGAACTACAAATATACATTGAAAATGTATAAGATACAAACGAGAAGATTTAATGCACGCTTTTACCTAATCAGCTCCGCACAATCAATTTAAATTATTTAGATACCAAAAAAATACTAATTTACACCATGAATACCAAAATCGCTGTTTGTGGATGTCTTTAAAATGTGAATTTTAGAAAATCCTATCTTAATGAGTCTTTACGTAATAAAACGATACTTCTGACCAAATGTCTTTCCCATAGATTTGGCGATTCCGGTTAGATGATTAAATGAATCAGCCAGTCAGTCAGGACAAGTGATTTTATATTATATATTTAACATTAGATATGCTTAACACTTTGTCTAGTTTATATTATACTCAGACATTTTTTACTTATATTATCTAAAATAATAATTTGTGAACTAAAATTTTAAAATTATCATAATGGTCTCCATGTCTTTGAGCATAATATCATGGACAGTTATTATCCTGGGTGTAATAATTTATGAACTTTATTGTTTAATTATTTAAAAACTACTCTTTCTAATTCCGGTTTATAAACATAAACGTTAAGCAAACAAAAAAATAAAAATAATTTTCCTTACAAAAAAACATATTTTTTCAAACGCCCAAATATTTTACTGTGTTGGAGTATACTATCCTTTTTCGGGAGCTTGGGTAATAAAAAACTATTTAAAAAAATTTTAGAACCTACCGTTTTTGGAGAAGGGATTTCTAAATGGACGCTGTGTAACAATAGAACTATATAAAGTATTGAAACTTAAATAAGTTTACCTATAGTTTCTGATATATCCTATTGAAAGTATGTACCACCTAGATATTCATGAACGGCTTTGTCGTATTATATTATTATATTACATAGTAAAGTAGATTCTTATTAATAAATGTCTAACGTCGATATCTCGAACTCAATTGAAATCTTCTTAAAATAATATTTATATTATATTAAGACTCAACAACTCAACTTTTTTCTGTTTTCCTTGAATGCAAACATAACAATAGCGTCCTGTATAATATAATATAGCACGACCAAAACTTAAATGACTCAAACAATTAGTTTAATAAACAAAAAAAAAAAGGAAAATATTTAAACAGGTGCATACGAATCATTTATATTATAAAATACACACAAAGCCTAAGGCTAAACTATAATAATCTCTTACTCTCACTACTTTATTTTTGTTACCTAAGCTTTATTATAGTACCTAGTAACAATAATAATATTATTACTATGGTATTTTCGTGACACAATGTTTATAGGCTCGAGTTAACTTCTGTGAATTGTTTAAGTGCAAAAAAAAAATACCGACGTTTCCAGTTTTATTTTGACCATTTTGTGGCACGCGTACTTAAATATTTTATAATTTTTTGCAAGATTTTTTTATTATATGCAACGAATAATGAAAATTTGATCCTAAAACTATAAAGAATTATCATCAGCCAATATGTGTATATTTTTAATAAAATAATTTCATACTATTTTATCGATTAACATCAAGTGTAATGAAGCAAAACGTAAGGCATATAAAAATGTATTATATAGCCTCTGAAAAGTAGATTTCCAGAAGTTATTTCAACGGACAAACATGGTGAACTTAAGGAGTTGCAGAAATTATAGCATATCTAAATTGACGATGAAACCTGTGAGGATTAGACTTAACGAGAGTATAATAAAAATATGTTACTGTCGTACAAACGTAGATGATAATATGGTGTTGTGCGAAAGCCGCCCCTACAGCAACCAATCCGGATACAGGCAGATTTCAAAATTGTCAATAACAATACATAATATTATTGAACATCGATATCACTGATGTTACTGTATGTTCGTACATTGTTTCGGACTCTAACGCGTGCGCAAAAATGCGTTAAAAAAAATAATAACCGTCCCGCGGTGGAGATTTAAATTCGACATCCATTCGGATTACACCGCCGGAAACGATCTACTAGGTACCTCCTACTGGCTCCTTAACGCGTTCATAATAATAGTAATGAAGGTGCATCTCCTGACACTATAATAATAATAATAATAATAATAATAATAATAATAATATATAATACTGCAATATAAAGAGGACACATCGACGGGTCTCACTGTATACCGAGGAGCTAGGTCGCTGATCGCTAAATCATTACAAACTTATGTATATATCATCATTATCTCTCATGATATTATTATAATATTATATTGTATTACGAACTACGTATATATGTATATATCACTGGTTGGCCGGGTGCCTGATTTGTTGGGCTGGAAACGTCAAGGGTCGAGCGTGACGTGCAGTGGGTGTACCTACCTAAATAGGTGGTATAAATGTATGTGTGTATGTGTGTGTGGTGTGTACCGACAGAACCCTCCAGCGCGCTACGTTCGGGGGAGAGGAGGTAGGTTGTAACGAGAACGACACAACAACAATAATAATAATAACAGTAGTATAGTGTTATACGGGATTTCCGGTATATATCGAAAGAGGAGAGCCATCGTCGGCGTTCTATATAATAAACACAGCACGGGCGCGACGCACGAATTATTGCGCCCACGATGATACTCCGGGTTGGACACCGGCCAATCGCTGAGAAACGAATACGTAATATTATTGTAGTCGTTATCATATTATTATAATATTCATATATTGCGATACCGACACCACATATTATTGCGAGGAGGAGGATTAGGGCTGAGAGAATACCAGCCGAAAATAACATAACGTATTAAGTATGTAGTAGAGTTATAATACAGACAATATACATTGCATGGCCAGTGTATAATATTGTTTTAGGAGACTTGTTAAGATTTTTCGGTTGACGGTAGGCTCACCCGAGCCACCCCTATTTGTGCCACCACAGTAGTAGGTACTGCAGGGTTTAGGGTTGAGCTCGACGAGGTCCTTGTCATGGCGTCCCTATTATAATACAAATATAATACACAAATATGTACTCACATTATTCCTGCAACAGTATTGTATACTCAGGTAATGGCCGAAAAGTAGCTATACAGAGCACAGCCTTCGCCACTTCAATCCACTAACCTATCCTTGTGAGCAAAACAGAAAAATATTATTCAAATATTTTGTTGGTAAATTATTGTGTTTCAATATATTATGTTACGATGATCTGTAAAAAATGTATATTTTTAATTATAGCAAAGTATATTTTCCGCAGCTCTTTAATGGTTTTCTAATAACTCTTTCACATGCGTCACTAACCTTATTATTATAGGTATTACCTATACCTACCAATAGAATGTTCTAAATAATAATCATAATAAGCGATGATCTTCGACGCGCAGAGGTATCGTACACGCATAAATTAGCGAAGAGAATTAATGTGTATAATGCAATGTAGCATTACATTATATGTATTATATTATATCATATATACGCTTAGTTATCCAAAAATTTGCATAATCTGGATTAACCTCAAACCGGAAACTCGAATCCAGATATTGGAATTTTTACAAAATTCGAAATTCGTTTCCCCACGCAGTGCTCTCATAAATTACCGTGTACACGATGATACTAGGTTGGAAATCAGCCAATCGACTACATACACAATATATGTATAAATATAACTACTCCATATATATTTTATAACGAAATCGTATTATGTTATGATCGCTATTGCGGGATGCATGCGGGGGATACGTGATATTATTATACTAAATGATCCGATAGGATTTCATTAGTTAAATGTATACTACTATTGTTGTGCAGGATTTAAAAAAAATATGTATTAATAGACATTTTCGAAGAATCTCTGCAGCTCCCCTAACTTAACCTACATTACGGACAGCGCGAAACCAGAGTAATATTATCGATGTTTGCTTTGCGGCTGAAGGGGTGAACGATTCTGAACACGCAGGGTAAATAAGACGATGTACTATACCTACCTACGCCGTGGTAATGTATTTTTTATAATAGACAGTTCTATCGAAACGGTGAAAACAATTCCGCTTAGCCTAATAATATATATGTGTGTACCTACATAGTTGATTCGATCAAGTTTGAACGTAAATTATGTTTCCGAAGTTTTCAGAATGGTGAAATTTGATTTATTAAAAAAAGGTTCTCAAACGCCAAGAATATATATGCACGATTAAAAATCGAAGTAGGTAGGCACTTTGCAAAAACGTTGACGATTATCAATATTGTACGTCTCACGGCTGCAGGTATATACAGAGTGGTTCGTCACACACGCTCAGTGTCCAACAAACTCAATAATAATTAAATATATTTTTCAATTAACTCCTACCTTTTTAAATTTTTAAGGATAATTCAGTGCCTCGATATTTTTACAATCTCGGACTTTTTGTAAAATTTGAGGAGTGTCCTATAACTTAATTTTTTTTTTTAAACAATCATTTTTTTCGCAGTAAATCTTAAAATTGATAAGCAGATGATTTTTCTTTTTGAAAAGTAGTTTCTGAGTTCATAAAATGAATGTAGGATACAAATTATTTATGTGTGGTTTTACAAAATACATAAAACAGATACACTCGTAATATAATACAGAGTCTAGTAGGTAATTATAACAGGTACTCAGCCAGTTTTTAAAAATCACTTAAAATCATCTGATAGAATAAAATAAAATGTAAATTGATCAATGATTTCGATTCGACTTTTCTATTGTTGTTATAAAAACCAAAAACATGAAAAGTTTTAATATGCCTGAGTTTTATAATAATAACATTTACTAGACAAATTGATGATTTTTGATTAATCAATCCTACTTTTTTCTAAACGTTGACCTAAGAATACTTACTAACTAACTAACTTAACCTAACATAAGAATCTTAGTGTTTAAATGTGGAGTAATATTGAATCAATATCATATTACGGGTATGTGTAAAAAATATTGTTTATCTGCATATCCAGAGGAACAGAAATCGCTGTACGTGAGTTATATTTAACATATAGCTGCCACTACTTAACTTTAAGTGCTCATAAACAATTAAATATTATATTATGCTGCCGATCGTTAAATGTTCGATATTTGTGAATTGATATTTTCGGACAAGTAAATATAATATATAAAATATACTTTGCATATTTTATGCCAAGTATAAAAATACTATTTAAAAAATTGAGTCATTTTACATAGAAAAATGTAAAGAAATTCATAAAGAAAATGGTAGCAATATTGGAGCACAACATTTGGAGTATAGGCAAATAACTAAACACGGTATGTCTATGCTTTATAAGTTATTGAATATTAGTGCGAGAGTTAACAATCACTTAAAATTCACAAATGTAAAATGCTACTTGAGCGTATTGCTCTTATAATATGGATGTACCTATATAAAACAAATTCTGTTGTATAATCAGCAAACGATATTATTTGAAATTGAATATGTGGGCACATGCATCAATATTACACTATCATAAGTACAGATCAGCAGACACTATAAAATTTTTAAAGCAATTTGAAGACTCATGTTCTATTGACAAAGTCAGACAGACTATATATATATATATACACACAATCAATGGCTCAAAAATAGGCTCCTCATCAAGACCTATTTTTTTAAAGTGCATTTGACTTAAATAATTTAAAATTTGTGCTAGTACAAAATAATATGTTTAACTTATTCACCAGGGAACAAGAGATAACAATGTGTATATTCTATTTTTCAGTTATGGAAAACTTGGTTAATAATATTCAAATATTTAAAGCAGAATGGCTCTTTCATCAATTTTCTTTTAGTTTGGTAATTAAGTAATTACCTATAATAGTTAAATATTATGGTGCTTGATTAGCCTATTGATCAATCGAGTCCCGGTTAATTATTATAATAACGCCAAGGTCGAAAATTCATTATAAGATACCTACTATAATTAATGTTTTTGTAATTTTGTAAGCAGCTATAAACTAGGCACGTAAACATAATTAAGGGATGTGGTATAGGAATGAATACCCTTCACGATTCCTTGAATATCCTCTCCCCTCTCCAACCTTGTCATAAAAACGAACACTATAGTGCCGTCGACAAAGAGGAAATCTCCGTTGTCGATCGCCTCCACGTAAAAGCATAACCACCCGCCCAGGTCTGAAAGAAGGCACACGTCATCATTTCCGTTTGGACAGTCACCCCCACCACCACCACTCTTCGTCAAAACGGTTTTGCAGAACACAAATATTGTCTAAGATATCACTACTCGTCAGTTGCAGTCACACGACGAGTGGGACCGAGAAAAGATAGTTTTGTATCTAATTCCTGCCGATATATTATTACATGAATAGACGGTTTACGCATGCACACACATATGCGAGTGGCCCAGGCTGAATTGTATTTACATAATATGTAAAACGGGGGAAAAAAATGAATAAAGAGAGAGACGGAGAGACGAGACGTACACACACACACACACACTTGAGGATATAACACGGGGGGTGAGATTTTTGGTGGGAGGGGGTGGGGAGGAGGAGTCGAAAAAAAGGTATTGACGCGCGACTATACTGCTGCAGGCGTATTATAATAATAATATATACGCGTCGCATCCATTATAAAATATATGTACATAGCCAATAGTAATTGATTTTAAGTCGAACGAGGATGATATTATATATATAAGAGAGATCTCCGGCATCATCCGAATCGATGGCGACTACCGAAGCCCAGGAGCCCGAACCCATCCAAGTATATAAAAAATGACGACGATTCACCTATATATATATATATATATATCGGTATATTATTATATTATTAAAATAATACGTAAAATTCCGAGTAGAAACGATCTTGTGCCTCGGGCATTACATATTATGCTGATAAAATATATATACCACCCTGGTGTACATACGCGTTATTATTATTATTATGTTTATGTTTATGCGATGAACAGCTCCAATCGCTTAGTCATGCGTAATACGTGTAATATAATATTATAATATACTGCAGGATGTTTTTATCCGCGTTAATACAGTACGCAACTATTTTTCAGTGATATAGGTAATATTTTATTATCAGCGCACGATTAGAGGTATTGATAATAATATAACGTATTTCTTTTGAAAATGTATAGAGTTTTTATAAACGCTCGTTATATTATCATACTTAGTCTACCCGAATTTGAAATAAAAAATTACTAAGCTGTTAACGACGCGATTACTATGCATAAAGGTGTTCCTGCTTTGGGTAATCAAACAAAGTCGACTTACTCGCTTTCGTTGTATTGAGCGTATTCAGAACTGTAACGTTTTGAAGTCGGATATTTGCGTGTATACCAAGATAAGCACGCCCTGTGGACATGCAATAGTTACTTTATATTGTTATCTTCTCTCTCCTCGTCTTATTCCCGATGATGGATGAACAATATGTATATTATTATACCAAAGCAGGTACAACAATATATGTGTTCGTGCCGGTCACAAGTACACTACGAAATCAATTCGAATTATGTGTTTCCCTCCAAGCCTTATATCAGTCTGCATGCCTGTGCCCGTCCGTTGTCGTGTATTGCAGAAATGTCGATACAGGCCTTCTCCGTCGATCGGACGAAGACGACGAGACGCTCACGCCAAAGCCAGAGCACGAGCGCGCACACCTGAAGAAGATAAATGATTAAAAGAAATTGTCTATCAAAATGGTTTCGATTTTTACGTATATTACTATACCTACCCACGCTGCTAGACGCCTGCAGCCGATCACAGTACTGCACCCCCTCGACCCGCAAAACGACGTCCGTCTATTGATTAATAGCTATCTTACCCCCCTCCTATCACTCCTCTACCCCAACTTGTGCGTTTCTCTCCGTTAAGTCATCCCACCTTTCCACTCACTCGGCGATAGTTTCTTATCAAATATTTTTTCTCTTTCAATCGGAAGTCGATATAGTGTTCCCCGCTGTATTGGGTTTACTTTACTTTTATCCGACCACGCTTTTGTACAGAAATAAGAAAAAATGCCCTCGTCGCATTCAATTAGCGACCGGTAATAACATATATTATTACATTCATAGTATGCCGCATTAACCTATAATATTGTTGTACAAGCAAGTCGGAAAAATCTATGTATAGTCGTCGGATTTTTTCGGTTTTAATTAATTATCCATTATTTATCTTTTTCAAACATTCAGACTGTGTGCGGCACCGACTACGGTGTTTTTAGTTTGGAAAAATAATTTATAAAAAGTACAAAAGAAGTTAACAGTTTTTTTTTTTTTTTGAGGTGAAACAATTTAATGAAAATGCGTTAAACACATATATTATAATTTTGTATTATAATGATAAAATAATTTACAGCAATGAACAAAATTGTTATGAAAAAAAAGTATATTAGGTATTGTATTTATACTTTATTCCAGCGGTTCCCAAACTTTTACGACCACGGCACCCTTAAAAAATTTTTTGTGTTTCACGGAACCCTAATGTCTAATCCAACTCAACTACAATTTTTGTGAATTAAAAAAGGAAAATCAATTCCTTAAACTCTCAAGTCTAAATAATATTTTAATGATACTGTTGATGACTTTTCATTATTAAACTTAGTTTCAACAAAATTTTCAATCAAACATTTTTTAAACAACAAACATTAAATAAACATAATTTTCTCAATAAACTCATACATCTAACGGAACCCTTGACATTGTCCCACGGAACCCTAAGGTTCCGCGGAACACACTTTGGGAAACGCTGCTTTATTCTACTGTTACGTTTTAACAACATTTATCGTTTCTTCAATGCAGTCGATGCATTCTAATGTTAACTATTGCCAAAGTAGAATTTGATGTTTGACCGTATTCGATCACATTTTTTCGTCGTAATTATAGTTGTCTTAAGATGGTATGCATAAAACTTAGAAATGTTTGTTACAAAATCGCCGGTTAACTTAGGCAGTTCCTGTTTTTATTTTTTTTTATCTGAATCTTAAAATTTGTCACTAGAATTTTTCGATAGCTATTATGATATTGTACAAAATGGAATTAGTTGTTTTAAAACATACATACTACAAAAGTATTCTTCATAATTGACAATAACAAGTTTTTTAAAAATAGGTTTTGATTGTATTCCTCTCCAATAATACATTTTTCATGGTTTTTGTTTTTTGTTTTAATTCTAATTTATTTGTTGAATTGAAACTTGAGTGGAATTCAGTTAATTAGACTTGTCTACTACTAGTATTTTAAAAAAATGTTACAAAAATTATTTAAATTTCAAACTTCATAATTTCTCACTCACTCACTTACATACTTACTAAAAAGAAAAAAATTACTCAAAGTTACTACTCAGTGTAAAAATAAAGAGATTCGTTTAATTTATTTTAGTTTTTTACAAAATTATTATAGACATTTCAAACTGTTTAGTTTTAATTTTTCAAGTTTACTAGATACCTACACGAAATTTAATATTTAATTGCCATAACCAAAAGTGTACCACATACCTGTAGTATCTTATCGTTTCAGGTACATGGCTATTTATTTAAGAATATATATTTAGTGCCTACCCATTTACTATTATGTGTGCTCGAGACTGTTTCCGTGTAACGTGTGTCGCCGAGGCGGTACCTGTGTTCCTTTGTCTCGGTACGGGCGTCGGTCCTGTGACTGTAACAAATCGTATTTAGTCGGTTTTGAGGATCACACGCAATGGACGGGAGAGGACGAGGAGGAGGAAACCGCGAGAAGAAGTTCTCTCTGCTTTTTTTCCCCGTTCATCTTCTCGCCTTGTTCAATTTTCGTACACCACATACGTATTGAACCCACCGCCGACACGCCGCTTCACATGACGAATAATATAAGCTATATACATTTATTGTTGTATGAAAAACACTGCAACGAATAAAAAAATACAAATAATAATATTATGTAGATATGCCGTGCGCGTGTAAACAGTAACGATTAATAATAATCGGCACGTATTAAGGTCAAATGAGGTTAAAATATTTGTGTCCGAGTTTATATAAAACACCATGATACGTAAGAAATTTAAATACATCCATTTGAGAAGTCAACCGTCGTCGTCGTCGTCTTCGTTTCGTGCCGGCGCATGTGATAATTGCAAGTACGATTACTATTATCGATACTTTAAGTCATTTCAATGATCTGAACGCCAAATGAGACCTCAAAGTGGAATATCTAATACTATGAACCGTTCGTCGCTGACTGCGGTAAGTTATCGACCGTATATTATTCAAATATCGTCTTATGCTATTATGATATTTTATTATAATATTTTACTCATCCGTACAGTATTAAGGTTATGACTGATAATATCATATATTTTAGTGCAATACATAATATATGTTTTTTATCGCCATCAGCGACTAAACTGGCCAACAACATAACATTAGGGAGAAAATCAAAAATGTAATAATATGCTTTGAGGATCAGTGTGGTATATTTCGTATAAATAATAACAACTATAACATAGCTATAAAATATTAGATTAAACTCACTAAGACGTTGGTATTATATCTATCGTCCAGATCCAGTGCCTCACGCCATTAAACACGAGACAAATAAGTAAATAAACAAACAATCTAACCCTGTATAGTCATGGCTAAATACACCGGTATTCCATAGTCTGAACTTGGACCAAATATTATCGTACGGTCGGCGCATCTTTTCTTTTATTATTACTATATTATGATTCATGCCTGTCTGGGATTTTCGATGAACAATACTCACAACCAGACAGCGTGAAGTAACACATTAGTGATGATCCAAGTTGTGAACTTACCAGAGCATTTAGCCCAAGTCTGTAATCATGCAATGTACAAACCAAAATTGAAATAATTTTAACGTGTTTTTTGGCGATCTGAGATCATGTACCGAGTTCAGCAGCAGTCGAAGTCTAAAGCCATCGACTTGTAGGCTCGTGTATTTCTTGGTGGTTTACAAACATTTTTCCATCGTGGCACATTGTTATACGTTATAATTATAAGTCACTGCACACTTTAGATAAACACGCGTGATCTATTTGCCGAAAATAAGCACTTATTAGGACAACAAAACGTTAAGACGCACTCTCTGTACAGTAGTCAGTATTAACTATAGACATTAGATTTATTTTAATATCGAACGATATTTTTTTGTTATCGTATGGTACATTTACAATTCAAATCTGTCTCGCAGTGTTAAAATAAAGTTTGTTTTTAAAACAATTAAAGTTCATGTTTTCACGGCACACAATTTGGTAAACACTGCTCTATTGCTATTTTATAGTTATTAATTTACGGACCTTAATAATTATTACAACTGTTGTAACCGAATGCAGTATTATAATCCTAAGCCTAACCTAGATGGCTATTTATTTCCCGGTCGTTACCTCACAGCCACAAAATGCGCGTCTATTCCAAAGACAAATAATATTAGAGAGCTGTCGTGGGTGAAAAATATCGCGCGCTCATCCTTCGAGATCCACGACCGCTCCTCGACCGTGGGTAAATATATAATAATAGTAATAACTATGACAACAACAAAAACCGTGGTATAATACGGGGCGAGTAAAACGGACGACCAATAACAATAGTAAAATAATAATAATAATAATATAAATACGTCTACGGGACAAAAATGCAAACTTTTCATTCACGTCTCGTCGTCATTACCATTTTTTTCCATCCCCTTGTCGCCGCTGCAATAAGGGTATTTTGAGACTTCAAGCTCCGTCGCGCTTTCGGGTCGAATTATATTATTCGCCAAACCAGATGACGTAAATGACATAGACGTATACGCGTATAAATAATAGCAATAACAACAATAATAATAATAATTTCGTTACATAACGACGACGGGTGAAATTCGTAAGAGTTATGTACGCACCCTGCGATGGTAGATTGCGGAGAGGTTAGGTCTACCGTACGCGTCCACCCCGCGTATGAGAAATTGCCGCCGGACAATGGGCGACGAGGCGCTTTCCCGTTTCACTGCACTTGCACCGGTTCATCACATAATACTATGTATTACAGTTTCGTGGCAGCCCTTAAATTCGGTCCCCAAAAAAGCGAACACTCGACGAATTGTTGCGTGATTTATTCTCCTCCAAGCCATACTTTTACGTTTAAAAAAATATATATATTTGTATTATTGTTTTGATAAACCCCCCTTTTTCCCTGTTTTTCAGCAGATATTTTTTTTTGAGAATTTTTATGTAGGTATCTAAATCAAAATTCGAGTAGTTAGTTTTTGAGTTATACACCTTTAAATACTAAACATAATAATTTGTGTATAGTAATGGGTGAAGTAGGCATAGCTTAGGCAATTTGAAAACGTTGATAATTACTATTGAATATAAATAATTTGTTAAAATGATCCAAGTAGCAAAACAATACATCTTATTTTACATTTGAGTAATAATTTTGTAAAACCATTTTTAAGGATGTTGCCCTTAATATAAAAATTGTAATAACTCAGAAACTACTCGTAATAATTATTTTGATTCAGATACATCCAAATTTTTAACGAAATCATCTGCTAGATAATTTTCAATAAAACTGAGAGGTTATCGTTTTAAAAGTAGAAGCTTGTATCGCCATAGGACACCATTATCTTACTATCGTATGTAGTATAAACAAATATCAGAAATTTGAAAATAAGGTATACTACCTAAAGGCAGAATTTAAATAAATATACTAGGTATTAAAGAGAAAAATGATCGTTAGCATGTTTGAAAAAACACAATATATAGATTGGAATCCGGTAAACACCAAATATTTAATGATTAACTATTATTAATAGGTACAATCGTGTAAATAACCACAACGAAAATGTTTAGAAAAGAAAAAAAAGCAAGCCTTCCAAATTTTCTTGAACCAGCACTCGAAAATGAGATGATTATATAGCATCGTATTATAATATACTGTATAATATATCAGTTAGGTTATCTAACTTTTTTATGTAAGAATTTCCTGATAGAATAATAATAATAATGATGACACACTCGCTATCGTCCGCGATCTCGCCGCCGTCAACTACTGCAATAACTGATAACGGAAAATAGAAAAAAAACAGTAGTAAAAAAATACGTATTTTTTTTTTTTTTTTTATNTTTTTTTTTTTTTTTGTATATTTATATGTGTACAGTAATTTCCTTGAACCTCCATAACTACGCTCGAAGTTCGAGAGCGGGAAAAGACGTATTTGTCGTAAAAGCCTCTGAGCGTAAAAAATATTATATTAAACAATTTACGACTTATACGCGAGTATAAAATATAAATAATATTACTATACGTCATTTTATTGTTCGGAAAAAAATGAATGGAGCTTGCGTTATTATTATTATTTTATTTGTAAGCATTTTTTTTATATGCTTCATATATTTAAGCAATTTCACACATCATCGATCTCGAGATTTGTCACGCGTTCAGGCACCTTTTCCTCCGTGCGCGCGTTGCGTCGGTACATTATAATCTCTCTAAACGGTTCAGAGTTTTTATTAAATATTTGTGAAAAAAAACAAAAAACCACCGTGAAATTATCCTTCATAATTTACACACAATACGATTCATCGTAAACGCGTACAATATATCATACCTTTTAAATTATTTATGCAAACGCATACGTCGTCATGCGTGTACTGCGGTTTTTGTCGGTCGAACGTCTTCCGAAGCAGCAAACCCAATACGGAAAAAAAATTATAATAATTAAAATCGTTGAAAAAAATAACATTCCTCAATTAACAATAATTTTGACGGCCGAAAGTCTTATATGATAAGGCTACTATCGACGTCCGACGTGTGTGAAGAAAAATAAAATGTTGTATACCTGCCCGGATCACTGCCATTGGATTGGACTTGTACTGTGCCAAAAATATGAATATTAGAGATGTAATTTTTTTTTTTTTCGAATAAACCGACAAAACTTTATTTCACCTCTTCGTGGTCTTATGTACATTATAATATAAAGCTGAAACCATAATACATAAAATATTATTATTTGGAGACTTGTTTTTATTTTTTATTTTATGATAACAAAATACAACTAATATTTTGATCTGATTGTTATCTGTCGTACTTGACTCATACTACAATATCTTGGGTCGGACGACATTTTTATATGTGATGTAAGATGGATATAAAATATAAACTTTCAGTCGTCATAATACCTAAGCTGGAGGATTTTGGATTAGGTACAGTAATAATAATAATGATAACAGATTTTTTTGGACTTCCTAGTTCAAGTTCAACAATAATCTATCACAAAAATAAACTGAATTAATTTATATTATCTAGATTTTATTAAAAGAAAATACCATCTGTTGACACTATATTTTTAAGTATGTATTTTTTTTTTCTTCTATATATAAAGTGTTTCTATGAAGTTCAAATTAATAAACTTATTAAATATTTAAATGTCACAGTATGGCGTATGGTTGAATGGTTCTATTATTTCTTTAATTTGTTAAATAATGAAAATTGCCAAAATACAGATATTATTACCATTGTGGGCTTATGGAGTAAACAATAATGTAATATATTGCTACAACGACAACAATGATTACGTGTAGGTACCTACCGAAAACCTTGCAATATTGTAAAATTCGCATAATATTGTAATTTAATGTTTGATGTAATTTTCGGGAGTATTAAATTTACATCTGCTAACGCGCACATGTTTCGAACAAATAGTAATAATAATAATAATAATAATATATAGGTAATGTTCCTAGATAATTGGCCTAATTGTTATAAATTGGTCTGGATGACTCATTGTTGTGCGTGGGAGGTTGTTAAACGATAAAAGGCGTTACAAACAAACTAACATTTTTTGCAATTCTGTAGATTTTATATTTTTATCCAAATAAAGTTTTTTATCGTCATGAATCGATGTTAATTATGATAATAAAAAAGAACGTAAAGTTTCACGACGTCAATAATTTATACTGCAGTCGGTTTAGAAAAAAATAACGAATCCAAAATGAATGAATTTGGATATGAATATAAATTTCGTTCAGACCAAATTCCAAAAGATACGTATAATACAAACATTGGAATAGACAAACCAAAGCCGCTATTACATACGTGAATGTTTTACGTCGTGTGTCGTGTACTCGTGTCATTCGTGGACATGGGAACTATAGCTCCAACTGTTAACCATATTGGTTTAAAAGCTGAGCTGTAGTCAACTCTTGGTATACTCGGTTGAATCTATTGGTTATTACACGATAACAATAGAACAACGTCCAATTCAAATCTGATTTCCTCCACAAGACGCGGCTTATACGTCAAATAGACTCTCAAATGACCATGGTGTTGGTTTAATCGTCGACGCACAGTTCTAAGATTTATTATTTAATAAATACTTAAGAAAATTTAAATAACAATTAAAAACAAATTGTAGGGTAAAATCAGGAATACAAATAAATATTGTTCACGATAGTATTAGAAGTGGGCCGTGAACTTAGCAAAGAAAATTTAACAGTTAAAAACAGTTTAGGACGAGTATTGTTTTTCTTTTAAATATCGATTCGATTCGAGTCAAGTTTCAATTATTTCGAAACGAGTCAAGTTAAAATTCCAGTATTCAAAAAAAGTCGAGTACTCGACAAATGACGAGTGTTGAAAAAAAGTTGAGTACTCGACCAATGCTGAATATTAAAAAAAGGGTAGAGTACTGAGAATTGCTTGAGTATTTTATATTGTACTAAGATTTGGGGTTTTTCAGTTATTAATAGTTTTAAAATTTATTTTTCTATAAAACACTGTTAATAGTATTTTTAATTTTAAAAATAGTGAAACGAATGTTCGATTTCAGGATAGGTAGTACTCGATTCAAGTCAACTACTCATATTTTCAATTACAAAAAAAATTTAGTAGAATGATGTCAAGTACTCGAACTCGACCAACACTATCATCATAAACACTGAAAATCTGAAAACCGTCTAATAGTTTCGCTTATAATTGTTGGACTTATTTTTAGTGGTTATTATTTTATCATGTATAATACAATAGGAACAAAAGCATTATAAATATTAAAACTATTAACTAGGTTAAGAAAACAATCATAATATGCAACAAGTAAAATTTCAAAACAAATCATACAACATCTAATAATCTAAGCAACAACATAGAAACATGCATTCCACCCAACTAGGTTAAGATAACAATTATGTAAAAAAATAACAAATAGTTTAATTTTAATCATAGTCAATAAGTACAATGTAACTAGGTTAAACTTAATATCAATAGTGCTTCGATAGTAAAATTGATATTATCTAAAGAATAAAATTGGGGAAGACAAAAAAAGGAGTAGAATTGGTGACTATGTGACGTGATTACTATGAGACGCCAGTTGTTGTTAATAAATATTATTTGTTCGTTTATTTCTGTACTTCTAAATTAATCGTTGTATACGACAAAGTGGCGCCCAACGTAGGGCTTGAACTCACGACCCCGAGATTCAGAGTCTAGTGCTCTTGTACAAGTATAGTTCCCAACATTTTATTGAAACTTTGTTCATTTTACAAAACTATTTTATGTTGTGTCTTGCCAATGGAGCAATATCAAACAAAAATTACTCATCTATACAAAGATTAGACGACAAAATAACATGTTGTAGGGTATTGGAGATAATTAGAAATTACAAAAACAATGGTTGAGTGATTTCTAAAGTGAACTGTTGAATTTGTTCAGCTAAGTTTCCCGACTATGTTATATTACGTATAGTTACCTTCCAATTTTATTTAATCACAATCATAACAATTTGTGAGACAGAAACTGCAATAACTGATTTTATAAACTATTCTGTAAAATCTCAATATCGTTTGTGAAATTAGTCTTCTTAATACAATCTGACCTACCCAAATTCACTTGATGCCTACGAATTTTACTAAAGTATCTATTATTTGATTGAACAAAATATTAATATAATATCATTAATCAGTTTTAACTGCAAGATTAAATAAACAATATAACTTATTTGTATGATATGAGATAATGTTTGTTGTCTTAAAGAGTGAAGATACCACAGTCGGTTAAAAAGATATTAAACGTGAATATCACTGCATAATATCACTGATTTTAGGTAGAAGATAAGCTGATAAAATAGCCCGACCCTTGAAAAATCACGGGGAAAAACATATACATACTCAAAATGGCAGATTTTGCAGGTTGGAATCTTTTCATATTACACTCTATACGTAATAAGCGTTCCCTGTATTCAGTTCAGTCCCACACTCACAGTAGTGTCGCAAAGCCACGAAAGAGCGATTCTGAAAATTTGCGAAATCGTATAGACTTTAATAACCATTTATAAACATACAAGGTTTTGTAAATAGCACTTAATGTATATTATAATATATGCATATATAGCTACCCGATTCCGCATAATTTTAAATGCAACGTTGCCATAACCTTTCTTTGCTCTCGTAATTACAAATTATTATGATGTGCATAAACGACAGAACTAATTAATGATAAACATGAAACGATCATTTTTCTAGGAACTATTTAAGTGATGATGTCAATACTCAATATAACAGTATATTTCACTGATTAAATACATATGCTATTGTAAATGTTAGGACTTGTTGATACGATTTTAATGTTATTGTGCCTAGTACAAAATAATATTAAATTATCCAATAGATACATTATAATATTTTTAGTTACATATATGTTTTTATGGCATAATAGATATATTTTACCTTGTAATATTTTTTTGAAATACAATTAATAAACTTTTTACAATTGATTATTCTATTGAAAAACGTGTTTGAATCAAATTGAAGCTTATTAGATTTCTAAAAAATCTGTTATCGTAACTTCAAGATATATCTCTAATCACAAAGAAATTAACCTCAACTCAAAGCTTGAATATTTAAATGAGGTAACTTCACGATATTTTAAAGTTTAAGCTCATTCGTATGTTTCTGAACGTTTTGATACTTGGTGGTATGGAGTTGTATTTTTTGTACGATAGTCTCACAAAATGGTAGTATAAAATGTTAACTAGCTTAAGTTACAATAATATGATTGTTCAAATAATGTTAATATGTTATCGGGAAGGCAAAGTTGCGGGTAAACCTAAGTTGATGGATTTTTTTATAAACCATGTTAAACCGGTATTCCAGTTATTGCTCAAATCCCGATCAAACGGTTTACCTTACTACCGAAGTACCTAACCGTTCAATTCCAAAGTAACACCGAATACTATGTAAGGGTTGACGCCATACAAGGTTCTTGTTCCACAGTACCTAATAAAATTTTAATACCATTAACCCAATCAAGCAGGTTTTTCGAGATTGATTTTCCACAGTAAAAAACTTTTTTCATTTTTGCAGGTCTGCCTGTGGCTGTGCATCGAATGGTGCTGCGGCTCTCCTGCGGCGGGCCTGCTTCCACCTCACCGGCGGCCGGCCTTAGTCGACCCGCACCCAATAGTGGCCACGCTGCATCCCGGCAGAAGTCGCGGGTTCACTGCGCAGCAGCAAAAGAAGTCGTCGGCAGCGAGGACCACGGTGTCGGTGGCTCCAGAGGACAGTGGACAGCCAGCGGATCAAGACACAGCGGATACTGTCGGCTTCAATTTCGGCCTGGGCTTCGGGCTGGACACGCCGCTCATTGATTCGCTGCTTGAAAGGCTGCTGAGGCGTAAACAGCTCCTGATGGCAGCGGCCGCGGCCGCTTATCCGGGCGCTGGAGGTTGGGGCGTAGCCGCCGGCGGCGGTGGAGGTTACTTTCCAGGACCAGCGGTCGTATTCCCGTATGCCGGCGGCGGTGGTGGTGTGGGTGGAGGTGGAGGAAACGGCATTCTCCCGTGGAACAGGCCCGCCGCATACCCGTTCCCGTTCGTGCCGTCCCTAAACCCGTTCAGTGGAGGAGGCGGCGGTGGTGGAGTTGGAGGTGGAGGTTGGGGTGGTTTTGGCGGTAATGGCTTAGGCGGCGGTGGTTGGGGCGGTGGTTGGGGTGGTTATAACCCGCTGTTCGATTTCGACGATTTCGGGTGGAAGAACAACAACGCACAACAATAATCGCTCCCAAATATTATATACATTTAACTATTGTAATTATATAAACTAATTTATAAAAGCTGATCTGTTTAATATTAAGAAAATATAATATTAATAAATAGTCATAAGAATGGAATTTCTGCATCTCGGATAGACCTAGTAGATAACTCAATAGGTAGGTAATCAGAATTTTTTTTTTTATAACAATATTTATAGATATAATATTTTTGCTAACTCACTGTTAAATATAATATGTAATCACTTTGTACATTATATTATAGTTAACTAACAATATATAATTATCATAAATAATTTTAAATTTGTTAATTGTTAGTGTAATTTATAAACACTTAAAGGTGTGTCATGACTGCGGTACTTTTCTAAAACTAATTTGTATATAGGTATCTCCAATGAAATCGGATGTGCTATATTGATATCAAAATATAATTCAATATATATCAATGTACCTATGATAAAACTGCCAGTGTTAGGTACTAGATAATAATTAATAATAAGCTCAGAAAGTCAAAACATATATATCATACACTCCATATGTTATGTATAATACTTAAAACGGCTTTGGTAAAAATTACATCACTAAACATGACCGTTGGTTTACACCACTTCTAATAAGTTTTGAAAATATTTAATACCAAGTTATTCTGTGTTGCCCTTAACTACCTACCCATTTTACTACAGGTGCCTACCTATTTCAGTTATTATACATTTATTACTATACACGAATTATTGTATATAATAATTATATAAATCGTTTAATACTATGTAGTTACGACTTATAGGGACAAGACATACACACATAATAATAGTATGCAACAAAGCGTGACAACAACAACAATAATAACAATAACAATCATAATATAATGTGTTATGGCGGTACTTACAGAAGCGTTGGCGGTGTAATAATTTATAACGATTATCGAATTACGCGTTTCATCGTATGACTGCACGAGCCTCATCGTACAGATAATTCATCTTCGTCTAAAACAATTAAAATCACATTACATTATATGTTCTAATAGTATACAAAACAATATAAATATGTAGTAAACACGAATATAACTACGAGAGTGGTCGTTATGTATACAATCTAAGTTTTTTTGAAAATTGTATTGTATGCAAATTATATCGGTTCAAGATTACGGCTAATTGAGTTCATACAGTTTATAGGGTTGTTTCATCTTTGAATAATTTTAATATCTTCCGATATTTAGATTATTTAATGATTATTTTTGTTTTTAAATGTACTGAAGAATTGAATTGATCAAATGCAACAAGAACTGCACGCCATATTATTTGCATTATTTTAAGCATTTATATTTTGGGTAATTTTTATTTACATTATATTAAACAATTTATAACCATTTATCGAATATTTAAAATAATTAAACATTCTAACGTTTTGATTATTATTATTTTACAAAAAAACTCAACTTACTGGTCGGTCATCTTTGAAGTCTACGTGTATAAGCGAGTATTTATAATATCATGTGGATCTGTCGATAGAACTTTTTAATACCATATAAGTAGCACAGACAATGATCGTCCGATATTTTTCTTTGTTTAAAAAATTATTTATAATTGCATAGTTTATGTTTTAAAAAGATGAATTATCATTATTATTATTATTAGCTGTTACATGTTACTCATTTCATATTGATCTGTCATAATATACGTGTGAATGCATGCATGTACGTATGTATGTATGTATGTATGTATGTATGTATGTATGAATGTATGTATGTATGTATGTTTGTATGTATGTATGTATGTATGTATGTATGAATGTATGTATGTATGTATGTATGTATGTATGTATGTATGTATGTATGTATGTATGTATGTATGTATAGACGGATGTATACATGTATGTATGTATGTATGTATGTATGTATTTATGTAGTATTAATGTATGCATGTATAATGTATATGCATAGATAATTTAAGATAACTCTAACCGTACAATTTTTCAAAACGTTACTGACATTGAAAGAATTTTTGAAATAAAATATTGAAATACCAACGAAAAATTCATAAGTGGAACGTGTGTGTAATATACCGTTAACAGTGTCCTGAAAAAAATTGAAAATGACTTACTTCTTTTAATGATAATATATGTTTATAATGTATTATGTAATATAATTTTAATTGGTTATAAGGAATAAAGAATAAATTATACAATACGTTTTAAATATAATATTTAAAACTAAACATACATAATATTATAATAAGGAATTTCCTGTACCCAATTAATGTTAAATTTGTTTACTTTGTTATATAATGTTTTTTCAAATAACTGCAGAATGTCAAATACAAGTTTTAAAAGGTGTGATGACATTTCTAAAAAAACGTGTGCTTAAACAAGCCATTAAATTTCCGATAAGTTCCACGAAATGTGCGCAAACGGTTGTCAACCAAATGATTTTCAGCTGCTCGCGGTCCGTATGTATAATGGCGTATACGAACAAAAGAACAGCAATTTTTACTCGTCATTTATACATACATATACCTGCACTGGTAGAGGCATCGATCATTTGTCCGCCATGTGTATGTACATATATTATGTAATATATGGGTTACATTTTTTTTATCTCTCAACCCCCTCCCCTAGCTATACCACCGGAAACCCTCTCAAAACCAGCTCCCACTCACTGGGGGGAAGGATTGCCTGGTGAGCTTTATACCTACTTCCACCCGAAGTTATATATTACCCGTCATGTAATGCAAACGCGTTCGCAAAAAACCAAAATGTGCATTAAAATATTAGCGAAATGTTTTCGTAATTAATACACATTATTATATTACATACATTACACGTTGTGTCAACACACGTGTCGCTTTTTTTTATAAAAATAAATAAATAATAATCACAAAAACAGAACGTGTTGTACACTGACGTCGACGTCGACGTAGGCCAAGACAACGACGACGACTGTAATATTGTAAAAGCAAAAAAATAAACAAACAAATAAATAAACGCCGAACAATTAAAGTATATTTTTAAATATTTTATTTTAGAAATTGTATAGGTACTATTGTTACGACGATATACGATCTACGACAATGGGAAGGGAAAAAAAACGTTTACCCTTTGTTGTGCAGCCATCGGCGTCGTGCATAAATAAATACGACTACCGAAGTTCTCGGATCGCAATGCCCGTATTGCTTGTGTCTCTGGTCGCACCTGATGCGCGCGCGTGAAGTTCGTTTTGGTGTTAAAGTCGGCAATAACATTATACTATTATTACACATTTTTACCTGATATACACACGCGCGAATATTGTAGGTATATTATTTCATTATAATATCGTGATTTCGTCGCTAATTTCAACTTTTGTTTGCCGCCACTGTCATGAAGAAATCGATCGCTGTCGGCCACGGGCTGACGATACTGTGCGTATTCGCGACGGCCCAAGTAAGACGTGCATCTATATAATGTCGTACGGTATTGCGACCGTACCGTGTTATTATCCTACGTTGTTTTGATGGGGTTTTTTTAGGTGGTGGTGGGGGGGGGGGATTGTTCGTTGTTCACACATGGGTCAACCCATAAAAGTTATTTAAAGATATTGAAAAATTATGTCCATTATATTATAGTTTTGTAGCTTACTATAATAGTGATACATTGTCATTCACAACGACTCATCCAATTCTAAGTACCAAATAAGGAAGGTATAGTACCTAGTATAAGAATAAGTGGAATATGAAATGGTGGTACCTTAATATTAAATAATTCCGCTAAGTATTGTTTGAATAGCTCATCTGTAGTTCATGATTATGGTGGTACCTTCACTGTATAAACCCCAAAAAATGGGCCAAGATCAGGGGATGGCCTAAGAAGTCAAATGCATCGAATAGTTCATTTCGAATACTCCAGTATTATAACATTTTAGAGTGACATTATTAACTGCATGTGTGATGTACATACTTCTGATCTTTGAAATAAAAATTGCAATTTAAATATAAATTCAAAAAACAAAAATCGTCATAATAATAATTCAAATTGTCAATATATGTGACGATAACGAATTTTTCCTGAATTCAAACTTGATACAATAATTATTTTTGACAGACTTGTCAACAACATATTATATTAACTCAGCTGTCATAACACGTTAAAAAAAATTCAACAATCCACCAACAATGTTTGGTAAATTTGCTTACAAGCTTTGATTTTTCTATTCCTATCCACTATAGATATAATGCAAAATTATACTACGTTGTATATCTTTATTATAATGATAGCATTAATTCACAGCTAAGAAAAATTGAGAAAATTTTACTTAACACTTCATTAAAACTTAAATTACATGTATGCATAATATGAAATTACCCGTTAGACTTTTATATGATATATTATCACAGCTGGCTATACTGCAACAGCTCGGAAGATATAATTTGATAAAAATAAAATATAATTTTTATGTTTGAAAATTATTTCATCAACAGGTGTAGGTAACACATTTAATTACAACTTATCCTCTCCTGCACATTTTTTATAACAAATTCAATACATTGTCGGGAGTTTTGGACAGAATATAATATTATTGTAACTTGTAAGTTATTATAATGAAATTGTGTATGTACAGAGCATTACTTACTCAGGCCACGTATTTCGTGTTTTCGCAACGAAAATGCATTCAACGTTAGAGGAAACATGTTTTGTTTGACACAATTATAATATATCCTTTCGTTGGACCAATAACTGACGATCGAGTTGATATTCCCATTCTTGAAAAAGTAATTTCACATTGTATTTACGATTGTTTCGAGTTCAACTAAAAATTTATGTTTTGGACAGTTTTAAGTGCCTACAGAGTATATAAGTAAATATTATCGCACATACATATTTGTACGGCTTAGACGTTTATTGTAAACAGTTTCTGAATAAGTTATAAATTTTCATATTTTTTTCGTTAAAAATATTACAGTTAACGATATTAAGTTAGTAAGCTGCCTAAATAATAAATTGTTTGGTTATTATTACAACTGCGAATACACGCCGTATGAAATATTCAGTAGCCGGAAACTTAAAAGGAAATGCACTTTTATTATATATGTAGATATATTTGGGTTTTATTTTATTTTACTTTAATTCGAAGTTAGTCAACTACCGCAATTAGATACGTGTATAAAATATACACTGCTGCAGAGTTCAGTTGTTTTCAATAAATTATTCCACGTTCTGAAAGGAAAAAAATCAATAAATTTAAAAACAAAAAAACGTGTCCAAACCATAAAACTTGGCATTGGGTTTATTTAGTAGTGTTATTGAAAAACGATGCGATGACGTTGCATTCCATCGCTGTATAACAATACCAGATATAAACGTGTAAAAATTAACTCGATGACGTATCTTTCGATAAAAATGCGGAAAACAATCTCATCATAAGGTTCAAAGTCTGAATTCTAAAATGATATTGTCAACCTTTTTTTCTCGGAATACAACTCAATAAAGTGTCTGTCGTTTGTAGTACCTCATCTATACCTATGTTTAAAATTATAATAAAGACGCGTAGTGGCATAACAGTCCCCTGAAAAAAAAACACAAAATCGTTATTTATTAAAACGTTATAAAACAGTATAAAACAGTATGACATAAATATTGACACGTTAAACCAAATTTTTCCGATCCCCTTCATTTTGTTTTCACCCTTAGACGATGGAACGTGTAATTTGTTTGGGCACTGGCATGTAAATAATAAATGTCAGCGCTGGTAGTACTAGACTAGGTTAAACTAAAAAGAAATGCTGTTACGGCGTTGTGCCCACACATATTATTATCATAATATTATGTATAAGATCCAAGTCAAATAATACAAAAAATAATCGCAACGGTTGATTTTGGGAATATTTTTGAACATAATACCGTTATAATAATATTATGATTTACATTTTTTTCGATTGAGAAGTTAGGGAACCGAATTTGTGATTATATTTTCATTGACTGTCATAGACAATCATTAAACATTAAATGAGTCAATAGTGATCCAATGGTCCCTTAAACTTGTCAAATGAGTGGTGGCAGTGGCACCGAAATCGATTCTAATAAGGTTCGGCTGACCGATTTTTTTCACCCTCATTTGATTTACATCTCATACGTAACTTTGTAATAACTAATAAGTAAATAATATATGTTATAGCGTAATTTTGGGGTGGTGGTAAAGACTTAAATATGAGATTTCGTAATTTGAAATTTAAGCTCAGTCTTCCACTGCATTAATGACCCATGATAAGCGAAACATTAAATTAATCAATTTTTGTGCAACGTGGCATATGTTCATATGTATTTATAATACAACCATACAATCATTTCTACATACTGTCACAAGTGTATAATATAATATAATATAATCACCACTACTGCGGAACCTTATAAAAAAACGTTTCACTTAAGCTTATGTCATTACGACGGCGGTGATTATTATTTTATCATTATATTATAATATATGTATTTATTATTATATTGTATTTTTTGTGTATTTTAACTGTGATGCGCTATCTTCTACACGATTTTCTTAAATTAAATTTTAAAAAAAATATTCTAAGTTTATTCGATTAATATTCCTGCACGATGTATCTGAGTGATGTATATTTTTTGTATTACCACGGGACACTCATCAAATGGTATTTGAAATATGGTTGCCTGATAAGTATACTTAAAAATTGAAATAATCAGAATTTGACTAAGTCAATCATTAAAAGAAAGCAAGCTTGGCGAATCACTTTGTATACATATACTAAATATAATATAATATAACGTCCAACACGTCAAAGGTCATTCTCGTGAAAATTGGGCACGAACACTTGCAACAAAGTGCTCTGTGGTAAATCAAGGTATATAATTAAAATGACAATAATAATTTTACTTTATTTAATTAATATAATAAACACGCACCCGAAAGATAAAACGTGTATAGCAACGTCATCATTTTCGATTATTCCAAAGAGGCACTCTATATAATTATAATACCTTTAATATAATTGTAGTTGTCTTTACAAAAAGACAGTGTGTGTGTGTGTGTGTGTGTGTGCGTCTTTATGGGTGGGGGGAGGGAGGACTAGAAATTATTAAAATATAATTCAAAATCATATAACGGTTGATAATATCATAGATAGTTCCTAAATGACGGGTATATTTATTATTTAAGTATCGATATCCAAGGTCTTGAGTTTCTAGATTGTTTTTGTTATGTTGTTTTTTTTTTCGTTTATTATTTTTAAAATGTTTCAGCACATTAGGTGTTATTACAAGTAAGATACATGACATTACAATTACGATTTGTTATGTTGTAAAGGCCATGTAATGCAATTATGCAAAAGGTTATAATATATAAGTTATATATAAAAGGTTATATCTATCCAGCTCGAGAATACTCGACGGTCTGACGAAAACTGGTTCTTCTGCACATTGCCTCGTGCTACTTCCCTTCCATAGTGGAACGGGCTTAGAATGCAAGGTGTAGTGTAAGGATACGCAGAATCAGAGTGTTCTCTCGCTGGACAGAGTATAGATACATACGGAAATTTGATACGAACGGGAATTCATTTTTATATTCCAAAAGCATAAAAACGTTCACGGATATTATGAGTGTCTCCGCTTGGTAAAAAAAAAAAAGAAAAATGTCTACTTACAAACGCCGTTTTGCAGGTTATGTGCAGTCAAGACAATAACAACGAAGATGCTGAGGTGTACGAAGCAATCAGCGAGAATAGGGGAGGAATGTTAACACAAATGATCGCCAGCAACGGATTGGCAAGCGCGTCGAAAAAGTTGCACATTACGCCGCTCATTATGTCTGATCTGAATCCGCCAACAGACGATGATAATGACGATGTCACCGACGACGCCGAGGAACAGCAACAGAAATACTGCCGACGTCCAAGTCCCCGAGTACTTGCTTCCCTGGCACAGGAAGTGGACAATACCGGAACAGGAATTAAAGGTAAATGGAACATGTCACAGGCTAAGGACGATCAATCAGAAGTCGATAACGCCAAGTGTCGATCCACGAACGATGACGGTCAGGAGTTCGGATACCAGCCGCGTAGTCGATTAAATTCAGTGTCTGGAGGTTCGAGACGCAGACGTAACATGCTTCAGAATGCGCCAGCTGAAGACTCTCGACCGGTGGTTATGGCCTAGCTGTAAATTCCTACCACCGATGAGTGGTTATTATTGTACACAATAATCCTATAACATTTTATACATAATTATAAAACATAAAATAAATCAATGAAAAATATTACATTACAACTACTTTGATACCTAATATAATATTTACTTTATTCTAGAATTTGACTTAGGTACATAATCAATACATCCAGTGTTGGACTTATCCATAGATAAATAATACGCGACTGTTATACTGTGTAATAGTATATATTATATACGAATAACAATCTATTAAATAATACATATAAATAAGTTTATTTTGACTGTGAAAAATAAAAAAATGAAAATAATACTAAATAAAAAAAGTAAAAATGAAACAATAATTTATTGATATTATGAATTCCTAAATACTTTAAGACCACAAGTCAAGATATGTATAAAGTTTATTTTTATACAGATTATAATGAATCAAGTTACATTAAATATAAGTTTTTAGGCTACCTACCAAGATTAATAATTATTATCACACCCGTCATAGTGTATAATTTTAACGTCTTTTCAAATGCCAACTTGAATTAAATTTTTAAATTTATTGTATTTTATATTAATTAACATAAAATTGGTATTAAATAAGAGGAAGTTTGGTACCAAATACATAATAAATGGCATGACATTGAATGATAGCATATATTACTAAGATTTGTATTATTACTTATTAGACTTATACAATTTTACAAATTAAATAACTGTAATATATAATAATATGAATATAAGTATAATTAGTAATTACTTCAATTTTCGGATCATTGTAGCCTCCAATATACAGGTTATCATGGGGCTGTTATCCTTAGTACACACAGTTTAATAACTCAAACATTACTTGTTTGGATTTCAAGTTAGATACATCTCCAAAAAGTCATCTGGTTAACGATTTACAGGAAAAAGGGTGATCTCTTTTGGAAAAAGCAAATCCTTATCATCTGAGACTGTTTAGTGTAAGCGTTGTATACAGTTATATTATGGCACATTGTTCTAACATGATACATAAACTGGCGTACGTGACTACGGGACCGGACTCTCAGGCGGGAATATGCTGATCCAGCAATTCCCACTTTGGCAGTTTGAACAGAAAGACCTCTTTGACATGGCCGGTAGGTTAGTCGCTAAGAAAGACGCAATCGGGCAGAACCTATCTTCATTATACAAAAAATGCATGTAATAAGTTTTTGATTAGCAGTAATTAATAAGTTATAGCACCTAATTTGTAGTTTACGTATTTAATAAACGTATCTTTAAACCATTTAAATATCATCTTTGAGTATAATTCTTTTAAACACGTCCTACTTTCTTCATCGAGGATGACAACGAGCTGGTACACAATATCAAGGACTCTTCTTAAATGGTATAAAATTTAAGTTTTTGAAAATATGATCTATAAATAATAAATGTACTTAAAAATTACTAAAATCAGACTTTTACAAAATTCATTTTACTAAAAGAAAATATTAGGGCGAGCATGCTTGTGACCTTGCACGAGCTATAAATGTTTTAAATCAAAATTTTAAAGTGTTTATAGTAATTTATTGATATGAGTTTTAGAAAATGAATACTATCAAGGTATTTTGTAAGTAAGTTATCTTTATGCAAAACACTAATTGCACACCTAGTAGAATATAATATACGTTGTATATGCATAACGTTATCATCGTATTATAATCTTTTGCACAGAATATTTATGGCGCATTTTGGTTTAAACAATAAAACATTGGTCAATACAAATAAAACAAAATGTATCCCCCAAAAATAACTTACCTATTATTGCCGTTTTGATGGATATATTCGTCCTATTCTCACGGCGTTGTATACAATTGTCTGGCTATTTTAATATCAATAATGTGGTAGTACCTATAGGTAACACACACGAAAGTCGTGTGTTGTACATATACGACTAAACATCGCAATATATTATGGTATTTCCGAATTCCGAATTTTTTGTCGCAGTCCTTCGCCAAAGTCGTTTTATGCACGAAAAAAAACCACTAACACACAAATCGCTCGATTTATTATTATGCTGTATCCTTATCGATACGATTTACGGGATCTAAACGTAAAGTTCATGCTGTAATACCTCATGTTCGATCGGTGGGGTTTAACACGCTCATTCTATCCTGAAACAAAATATGAATTCAATGTATAAGTACACATACATAATTTATTATACTGATAACAATATTAAAGTCTATATAATTTATTGGTATTGGTAACCTCAATTACATAGAACGAAATTTGTTTTTAAACACAATTCGTAAAACGTACAACACGTCATGTTAATTGCTGTTATTTTTTTTATTTCTAATTACAACAATGTGTCAAAAAATCAAAAGAAATCAATACAACAATCTCATCTCGTAAATTGTATAGGTACGAGTTTTTTTTCAAACTATAGAAGTGTATAGAAGAATCGCATCGTCGTCCTATAGTGTGTGAAGGACATTTTTTTTATACACAACAAAAACAATGTTTATAACTATATTGTTCCAAGTCCGTTAATTTGATTAAATAATAAAACAATAAAATAGGTTCTTTTATAATTTTGTAGTAGCTATCATAAAATGTAATTCAAGGTTAATAGTTTAATATGCCGAGTATAATGCATCATACTGCAGTTTAATTACTATTTGCTTACACAAATTTAACAACTTTCTCCCACAAACACGTTAAATTTCCCAACATAAATAAGCATATTTATATAACGTATTTATATAAACTTATATTTTATACTCTCAACTCTCAAGTGTCTAAAGACCCCATACTTATTATATAATGCACGAGTATATGCATTGAAATTTATAAAAAAAATTATCTACACGCAAATAGAAGATATTTTGAAACATTTAAAACGTTTTTTAGTGAGAATCCTTTTAATGGACGCATAGATAATGTTCATAAACATACGAATAAAGTTCATTGCTAGAATAGAACTTTTATATAAAGCGATTTGGTCAATATCATAGCTAAATGACCAGGTATGATCGCAACTTTGTGATACGCAGGTGTAATGGCCGCCACTGGCAGTGCATATTATCACTTCGATTTATTAATTAACAAAACAGTACAAAATTATTAATTCTATGGATAAATAAATCTAAAAATCACTGCCAGCTAGGTGCTGGCATCCCAGGACTGCCAAATCCTTGAATCCTAAGGATTCCTTTCCATGCTAAATCATTCAATATAATATATTGCATATTAGTACGTGCGCAGCCCATAACTAAAATGCGTCTCAATGCGATCATACCTAGTTATTTAGCCATGGTCATTGGTCAATATTATTTATATTGGTAGATTTTTATATTTTCGTTGAATGATTAATAAAATACTATTATTGTTTATTGGAATTTGATTTGTATACAATATTTATATACAAAACAGATAGAAACAGAAAAAAGCAATACGTATAATAAGTTTGTTCGTTATACATATTACACAGTACACACAAAATATTATATTTATGTAGATGAGTATTATATATTGCAGTTAGAGACTCGAAATCGAATCGAGTGGAATCGTTCGGTCTTACAGTATTCTGTATTTACGATATAGCACAATAATATAATACGTTGTGATATATATGTATATATTTGTTTATATTTTGTTTGAAATACTTTGAATACACTTAATGGCATTAATGTTTTTCAATAACTTGGCATAATGATATTATTATATTATTATACGATGTACCCACACAGTTAGTTGAAATAAATAAATAAATAGCGCTCTGATACGTATTTTACTGTCAACGTGGCGAAATGTACCAATCTCTGTATATAATATTATACTATAGGTACTTATTGTTATCAGGAGAAGTCGTAAGAAGTTGAAGTCTCAATGACAATTCAAATCATTATTGATGAGTTCGATCCATACTTTAAAGTTTAAAGGTACCTACCATGACAGGCACCAACAAGTAGGTATGTTGAGTGCGAAATGTCGATCAGGGAACACTTACATTTTGAAACTTAAAATATTATGGAACACAGTGGATTCATGCTATACATACCAAATTAAAAGTAAATATTGAAAAACAGTATTTAAAAATATTATGCTATTTAATAATCAATAATAATTTTAAATTAAAATATTTTATCAGTTTAATCCCTATACTTATTTACTTCGAATTTCCTGTGCCATTTTTATACATATTTTAATCAATTTTTATTTGGAATTTGTATTTGTAAAATTATATATCTAGCAAAAAAACTGAACGAATGTTTTTAAAACTATTTCACATCTATATAGACTAATTGAACAATGTGGATCTAATAATAAACGAGACGTCGGTAACGAGCTATAAATAGCAGACGTCACTCACCAAAATGAATAAATAATTAAGAATTATCATAAATAAAATGAAAGTTTTTCGGATCCATCATGTTATTCTCCTGAAAAACAATGATAATTATGTAGGTACTAACTAAACGTTGTATATATGTATAAGAAAAATAGTACTCAATAGTTTTATATAGTAACATCATAATCAAAGATAATTTTAAGTTAAATGACTATTTTATTCATTCGTTTGAGTGAAACGATATCTTTATTACAATGTTTATTCAAACAAGATTGGGGTCAATTTTTAACACGACGTTTTCTCCTAGCAAGGTAATGGGTACTAAATCGCATAGTATTGGTACGCTCTCGCTGCGAAAATACAATTTTGACAATTATTATGGCACTGTGCGACCCTTCTGTGACGACAACTAATGCGCTATATATATATATATATATAAACAGGCACGCATACCAACTGTGCGAATTGCCGCAAACGAGGTAAATTATTATCATTAACAAACCACCGCGGTAGGCCAAAAAGTTTCATTCGGAAATTTTTATAATTTTCCAGACCGGAAAAAAAGGTAGTGCGTAGGCTGCGCATTTGTGTGTTCGGCGTTCACGGTACGAGCCGTTGTTATTTCCGCCACGCCACACCACATACCCCCCCCCCCAACCCTACCCCTAACCCACAGTATATACAGTGTAATGTTGTTGTTATTTTTTATTATGTTTACCGTATAGCTTTAGCTCGTTATTTTCAGTTGATAAATCTGGCCAAACACTCGTAGTTTTCATCGTTATTACCGCGACATCTCTTCTCATTACAGTATCTTTTCGGATTTCTCCGCCGAACGTCTCGAGAACGTTCAATGTCGACGTCGCCCGCCATATGTATACATAGGTATTATGTGTGTGTGTGTGTGTATTATATACTTACACGTATAGTATTGTATACGACAGATACGTAGGTACGCAGTGTATATCGTTATAACGATTTCGTACGCTGTCAAACAAAAAACAAAAATATATAACATTATTAATAATAGTAGGTAGGTACGACTAAACGTACAACTCGCGGATGAGGTAACGTTAGGTTTATCGTTTAAGAAAATAATAATATTATTGAAATAAAACGCGTAAGATGTCAGATGTATTTTAATAATAACACGGTATTGGGAATTATATAGGTAACCACAAAACTCAATGCATGACTTTTTTAAATCTGTGCCATTTTCAAATTTTCAATAGATCTTCTACTTTTACTGGAAAAGAACTGAGTAACACACTAACACAGAGGAGTTACGAGCGGCGGTAAAACATCTAGCAGTGATGTAGGCTAGCTTGACGAAAAATACAGTGATGTAACCCGTCTTGACGACTAAATACAATAATCTACACATCTATTTATTACCATACACATTGCGTAAACGAATGAACAGAAGCACCAAGCACCCCCTCTATGTTTTGTCGCTATCTATACACTTGTGGTGTCTACCGGTGCTGCCAAAAGCGACGGTGGTCGTAACGTGACACGGGCGCCGGCAGAACACTACGTTTGCTCCTGGATCAGAAGGTTTTTTTTGTGAGGAAAATGCGCAAAACGTTCGGTGGTCGATTAAATATTTTATTGATAAACTAAGACAAGTAAAACTATAAATGGTCGTTTCGCTCGGGTCGTCGGTCGTAAGAGCCGAGACGTTGGGCTGCTCGAGTCGATTCGAGAGCGTAAAAGTGAGTGAGTTCGTACGGCAAAACGTGAGCGGCTTCGAGCCCGTAACGGCGAAAAAGTTGGTTCTCGAGGCGGGAGACAAAATTGTAGCGGGACGACCAAAGATAATGCAAATAAAAGGTTTACAATAATTCACACAGTGAATAATACAAGGAACACAAAAATAATACAAGTATAAATCGTTTACACAAAACAACAACAATACAAAGGTAGGAACGAAATAACAAAATGGTAACGACAAAATAATTACGGCGCGCTAGCGTAAGTGGTGATAACACGTCGTAATCACCACACACTCATTGTTCGTCTAGTAGTATAAGGTTTACTCTATTTTCCCACATTTATGAAACTAGAAACTACTATAGTATAATCAAGATTTTCAAGAAGAAAAATTCGATACGTATCGATACGTCCCACGTCGTATCGAAGTCCGAGTCCGATACGGGTCGGTACGTATCGCTTGTATACTGCACGTGTAACTTCTTGAACGCTCAAAATTGCCTCGATGCTTATCGATACAATCCAAATTTTTCCTTGAAAATCTTGATAGTTTAGTACAGATTAAAATATAAAACAAGATGGAGCTCTTCCTAGTAAGTTGGTTAGTTCCTATTGAAAAGTCGTAAAAAACTAAAAAAAAACGTAAGCAAATCAAGTCAGTGTCAACACTAGTAGAGAAAAAACAGTTTTTACGATAAATTATTGATTGTTAATTGCGAATCACTGATATTTAGCACTCACGCCAAATTCCTAACCATCGTCACATCATTATTTGATACAATAATAAATATTACAGTAAAGGCGTCCTACAATAATTTATTCATCAAATGTGGTTCTGCTGCATTCAGGTAGGTTCGAGTTATCAGCAGTGTTGTAAAGTATTCAAATACGTTTTTCTGTATTGAATACTTTTTAAAATATTTTTAATTTTGAAGTATTGGAACGGTTTTTAAATACATTTATTTACTATTGTCTATTGAGTATTATTTTATTGAACACTTTTTTTTATTCCTTTAATTCTTTACTCTTTATTGCCTGTCAAATAATAATAATGTCATTATAATAATAAGGGTAATATATATATTTATCATTTACAAACAATTCGATATCGGTTTTAGTTTTCGTCTATTAATAGCTCAACTGAAAATTTTTTCACTCCGGGAAACCGTCCGTTTATCGTCGACAAAGTTCGCAACCGTACGTTATCGGTACCTACCAACATATTATTAATTATTATATTATAAAGAAATATTATACGAACATTAGCTATGTATGTCGTTCCTGTACTTGTGTACGTGTGTACTGTGTACGGAGGCAACACAATAATAATTATTGCAGGTACGACTTATTCTTAATTAAAAGCTATAAATAAATATAATATAAAACGTCAACATCGATATTTTGACCGATTACTGATTCTGCTATAAATAAGCGAATACGGCTATTGCCCACCGACGTGGCGCCATAATAATACGTGGAACACGGTAGTCTTATCTTCGTGATTTTATTAGTAAATATTATTATTTTTGCGTGTGCGGACTACGAACAACCGATTTCCAATATCGGTCGTTGGCGCACAAAATCATTTATAAACTATTGCAATATTGCACGTATAATTATAGCCCTACGCTGTTTTACACTTTTGTAATATTTATTACTTGGGTTCGTATTATTCGTACAGCGTTCGGTGTTGTCTGCTTGACGTTCCTACAGATGGTTAAAATAACTGTGTTGCGGCGACCGTATACTCTAGTTTTCGTTGTTTACATTTTTTTTTAAATTGTCATGCAATGAGTGATTGTGATTCTTCAACCGAAGTCGATCAGGTTGCAGATTCAGAAGAACCAATTTTACCCTGGTCAAATTATCAAAAATATTTTGAAGTGTAAAGAGTCATTGAGGATAATTTTTTTCACAAGAAGCTGGAAGTGAAGTGCTTAAGTTGTGTCGGTACAAAGTCTTACGAGGTGGATTCAACTGTAATATAAGAAAACATTTAAGCGTAAGTACAATGTTAATTTCATACCTGCCTGTGACAGTTGACCCATCTAATATGTTGTGTTAAATTAATTTTAAATACCACACAAATACCTAATATATTACAAAAATACATAAAAAACAGTGGCGCACAGCTTTTTAAAAGTCAAATTTCAAGTGCTTAAGATGTATCACAGATCGCATTATTCTATATTATGTATTTTCCTGGGCCCCCACAGAAGTCATCTCAGAGGGGCCCAGTATTCTTGGGTGTATGAAATAAAATAAAAAAAAATAACTCCCTCCCCCCTCATAAATAAATCCTAGTTGCACCACTGACCAAAAAATGTAAATTATTCATCAAAACTTATAATGTTAACTAAAAGGTTATATTATTTAATTTTATTCAGACACAACATCCAACTATGTTAAAGAAAATTGATCACATTGATAATGCGGCGAACAAAAACACTTCATAGAGATGCAATGATGGATCATTGAAGCATAATGCTGGTAGTTCTTTAAAACAGTCAGATAAAAATAACCAGATAAAACCCAATTTTAGATTTTTTGGACAACAAAAAATTAACTGGTCAAAGTAAGAATGTGTATTATTTATTTTTATTTTTTATTTTATTAAATAGTTTTTAGTTGCAGCATTAACAAAAGTATTTGATATTTACATGACTATATGATTTTAAATGTGCATGATATATTGAAATATTGAAATATTTTAGAATTATAATAAAATTAAAATTCATACCAATTGACAATTACCTACCCACTTTCAACTGTGATTTGTTATGCTGTTATTATCTCTCACAAAATTTCATGTTTATGTATACCTATGTATTATTATTTAATATTTATACATTTAAACAGAAGTTTATAACAAACATAAACACCAAAACACAAATACATTTTAGTATTTAATGAAAAAAATAGTAATTTATGTACTATATATAGTTGTTAATTAGTTACGTAACTAATGATTTTGATTGCAGGTACTATAGATCAACTGTTGCAAAAATGTATTGTAAGTGCTAATGCACCCTTCAGAATAATAGAAAATCCTGTTCGAAGGAAATAATTAGCAGAGGTTTTCCAAACAAAAAAATGATGTCTTGATCTATACTATAATGAAAACAATTGAAAATGATTTTTAAGAATTATCATTAAAAATTGAATTTGAGATGTCCAAATGTGCCCATATTGCTACGACTGCGGACAGCTGGTCGATTTTTAAAAAGTAAATTTTTATTATTTAGTATAATTATTGTACAATCGTACATTGTACATGGCTAGATACCAATTAGCTTAATATTATATTTTGTTAGATCATACATTCGGATAGCGGTCACGTGGATTAATGAGGATTTATTAAGAAGTACTCTTCTTTTAGTATTGAGACGACTAGACGGTTCTCACACATATGATAATTTAGCCAAAGCTATGGATGTAGTATATACTGAGTTCGAAATTTCAGATAAACTATCTTACTGTACTATTTGTTTAATTTTGAATTAATGACAAGTGATCAAACAGTTTCTAATTATATGAAATCTCTGGTGACTGCCATACTTAATGGTATGTAATAATTAATATTTTTTAAATACATTAATCTTATTTAGCCAAGAACTTAAATTTTACACATTTAATTTCTATTCGTTTTAGCTGTTTTTGGTTTACTTTATTGGTAAATACTATTTACTAAGTAGTAAATACATACTACATAGTATCTCTTAGTTCTTACAGTCTATAATGATTATAAATTATATTATTATTATTTCATCTAAAATTATTTTCTTACTGGTGTATAATGTAAAATGTTAATCAGCTGATCTATTATTTATATTTCTGTGTAGTACCTACATTTATATGCTCTTGAGCTAAAATTAACAAACTTTATTGAAAATAATTTTTGTTTTTTAGGTATAAAAACAAGGTTTGTCAATTATTTGATAGACAAATTCTTAATTACTGCTGCAGTCTGCCACCCACTATTTAAAACAGCATGGATTAAAAATTATATAAAAAAACATTTGGCCTCAGAATATTTAAAAAGTGCCTGTTATGACTTACATACCAGTGATAATGACAATAGTGATGTAGAAGATAACCAAATGAATGATAATTTATCTAGCTTTTTTACCGGGTCACAAAATTCCCGAGAGGAAAAATCAACAGTTAGTGATGAGATAGATAGATTTTTGGGCACATCTCTAACAAAGACTTAAGAATGTTTGCATAATTTACCCACATCAAAAAAGTAAGATTAGTTGAAAACTTCTTATACTATATTAGTAATAATATTACAAAAACATTTGTACTTTGTTTTCAGGTATTTGTGAAGAAAACCACCTAGCAGTGCATTAGTAGAGAGAATGTTTAGTATTGGTGGTGCAACAATAACAAAAAAAAAAAGAACAAATATGACGGATCAGCATTTTGAAGAAATAATGTTCTCAAAATGCAACACTCAAATGTTCGATTAATATAATATATTAAGAATGATTCAGAATTAAATTGATTTTTTTGTTTTGTATTTGATAATTATTTCAAATACTTTACTGTGGATAGTATTTGGGTGGTATTTTAAATACTTTATTTTATAAGTATTTGAGTAATTACTTAAATACTTTTTTTAAGTATTTTTTACAACACTGGTTATCAGTAAATGCAGAAATACAACATTTCGTTTTATATTATAAGTGATACACGAATCTTAATACTTAATGCATATTGCACATAAATAATAACTTAAGTTTATAATGTTTGACTGCACGCCCAGCAATAATTATTTATAATTGTTACTGATACCTATACAATTCAAAATAATCACGTGGTAATCCATTTAAGTAACTGTGTACATTATCGTTATTTTAAAAACTGTTAAGTTGGGTTTGCTGTCTTTACAATTAATGAACGTTTTTAAAAAAAAAATATATATACTTATAAATTAAGTTAGGAACACTAAGTAATGCATGTCATTATCAGTCAATTTTTGTGTTCTATTGACAGTACCTTTATCGCTGATTACGAATATGTAAAAATACATTTTCGGAAACATGTATGAGAAACTACTCGTTTTTCACTCTTTTCAGTATTATCATTATTATGATAGAGATCGGGGATTGCAGGGAGGTGTCAGTCTTCGAAAGTAGATGGGTCGCCTAACGGGTGTAACCTTGCTAATTAAAGTATATCAAGTATTCACTCCCTAAACCACTTGGCTTAGGTTACAAGAAATATTTTTTAAAAGTTAAAACTTTTCGAAATAATGACACTTAAGTGGATCGGCTTGTATATACTAATACCACTTATAATATTACATTTTATGTTCAAGTTCTAGTTGAGAGATTAATAAATAACATAACAGGAGATTATAATAATATGCCAGTGATTAAAGAGATAGATTTCAACAATAATGACTTTTTACAACGAGGCATTTACACACAGTTGGTATAAATGCTGCATTTTTTTTATAGGAATTGTTCATTCAAAAAAAAAAAATAATAATAAATGTTAATCCTCGCGAACGGCGCGTTACGTTGTTCATATGCTCTCACTTTGAAGTTTGTATGTAATATAACACCACTACCATACTGCAGTTGCAACAGTTATTTTTGTTAAAAAAAATAAACTCATACGAATATTTTCAGTCGTAATGTTGTATTGTTTTATTATTCAAGGCTGTTGAGCAGGTACGCAACACTATAGCAATTATGGACAAAATGATTATTTTGACACGAACGATTGACAATATAATATATTAAAATATAATATTATGAACAGGTTCATATTATAATAGTTAAAATTCTATTGTATTTTGATCAAATAATTACTACTAGAGTATAGTTAAAAACAAAAACCCAGTCAATTTGTCGAAAAAGTAGGTTATGGCACTATAATATATGATGGGCAGTATATGCTGTAATAATTGTAATTATTATGTGGTGCGTGTGTGTGGAATTACAAAATCCAAAGAGAACTTTGAACATATCACAGTGATCAACGTGAATTTAAAATGTTTTAAAATAAATATATTTCAAAACAATTTCTACCATAGTGGACATGACAGTTCATACAATTTGAATTTGAACAGATACATTGTCAGATATTATAAAAATCGGATGAATTTCGAGCTTCATTTAAAAATCCCCGCGTTAGCCGGTGCAGCTATTTACATGTTTTCACGGCGCCTAGAGAACAATTTTGAGAGGGTGCTCCCGCTGCGTGGGTTTTTTTTGTATATACCTACCTACCTTGGTAAAATTGCCATTGACTATTATTATTATTTTTATTGTTTGTTACAAATTGTACTGTGTAATCTAGTGGGAAAACTTTTGTTTATTGATTTCATAACCGATGACGTAATGCAATTTGTTTTAATTTTATCGGTAACATCAATCCGGCAATCGTACGAACATGTTAAAAAAGTCTCTGTATGTGTGATTGTTAATTTAATGTAAAAGTACACCACGCGGATAATAACAAACCAATATAGGTACTATCAGAGCTTATGGTCAGTAAATACAGTTTAAAAGTCAAGTCACGACGGATGTTTAAATGTTCAACAGTTATAATTTACACCACACTAACGATTTTTAAAAATAATAACACATGAAGTACTCGACACTATTATTTTAGCGAGCAAAATTAATTCACGAATATACTTGGGTATTTTGTTTCCGGCGTTAACGACACAGTTAATTAAGACCGCAGTGATTCTCAGAACACTAAATTACAGTGCGAAATATTTTATCACTTAGAAATTAACCTAGAAATAATAATAAGGGACTAAAATGGGATATCGATAAGTGTAAATAATTGACGTTCTTTTTTTTCTTCTGTTAAATCTTTGGCGGTTACGCTATTCGAACAAAGTCCCCTTGTCAATCCTCCTGCACATTTGTTTGAAAACAACAACTGTTTACGTCTGAAAAAACGAATTCGTTTGGACGTGTGTGAACTGGAGCGGCATGAACATTTGCATTAAAAAAAAAAAAGAAAACAAACAAACAAAAACAAAAACAGGTCGAACAAAATAAAGAAATGTTGTGTGCCGTTTCTCGTCTGCGTGTTTGTCTTGCACTCTTTGTTCGGGGGGGGGGGGGGGNGAAAACAAAAAACTACCTCGCACGACGCAATGTAATTGCTGTAGACACGGCCGTTCGTATATGCACACCGCATACACACAACGTGTTAATAATAATTTGGTCTCGTCGTATTTATAAGTTTTTTTTGTGCTCTGTTTTTTTTCCATCACTCGAATGTCGTGTGCGTTATAGTAAGTATAAACTGTCGACGCGATCGGTTCGCAGCGGACGTGTGATATCGCGCGACGTGATTGTTTCGACTTATATTTAATTTGTATCGGTTTTCCGCGTCGTCCTGGTCGTTTTTATATCTCGTCGTATACTCAGGTAGTAGTACTTTAAGACGGTAGGTACCCATACTTGCTTATTTAACGTAACAGGAACGTACGGTAAAATGTAATCAGATAGCATATTGCATACCTATCAAAGTCTATTTTTACCGTCATATCATCCGACAGGGTTAGACGAGGTACGTTCAATATAGTAGTATATAAGATGGCAATAATTCCCATAACGATTAGTCTGCTATTTTGATGGTATTGGGACGAACATCCCCTAATGTTGGACTTTTGAAGTTTGCGATTTTCGGTCATTATGCGCATGTAAGGTCAAAACATATTATATATTATCTGATCAATAATTTATTTAATTACACATCATCATCATCTACTACCGAAAACGTCATCATTAACACATCAGCATCTGGTATCCATTTTTTCAAACCATTTCATTATACCATCAAAGAACTCCAACATATAGTAAAATTACTTAAAAATGCGGGGAAATTTCAAAGAATATCAAAAAACTGAAGTCCGACAGCCAATTTCTGACTTCACCACATTGTTTTCAGCATCAAATCGTGCATACTATTATGATGGAAAAAATTTTTTTTTTTAAATTCTCTTTTGTTAATGTGTGCACTTTAGCCAGAATATCAACCACGGTTATCTACTCGGTAACCGAGTAACCGAGTAGATAACTACGGTATTTACCGCATCCGGGGTGTATAATACACCCGGATGGCACTATATATTGCATACACGATGCGCCGTCACATCACACGCCCATTGCAGTAATATTATAATTTGACATTAATGAATTATGAAGAATAATAGTACTTTAGATCTGCAAGACACACACAAAAAATGTGGAGAAGTAGGCTACCCACCTGATGTGCAGTAAGTTACGAGTGGTTCACGGCAATGGATGGTGTTAAATTTGAATTTAATCACATAATATTATATAATCAATGAATATAAAAAACGATTCTAATACTGGGAATTTTAAAGTTTGACCTCCCGAATGCACCAATTAGATTCACTTTTCTACCGGAAAAAATACTGAAGTTGAAAATCAAAGCTTTATTTCGACTGCTCGTAGTGTACACAGACTCAAAAAAATTAAAAATAAAACACATCATTGTAAAGTAAATACATTCATCGCTTCGCTCAGTATTTAAAATGATTAGTAATGGGATAAAATGTACTTTTTTCTAAAGGCCATACGGTGTTGAAAGTTATATCCAGAAAGTGTGAATGTATTATATTATGGCATAGCAGGGTACCAATTAGAAAACTAGCCTAACTCATTCCATAGAGTAGAAAATATTTTAAAATCTTTTACACAAATACAAAATACCTACTAATATATTTTGACTAGCTAGTGACAACTGATAACTAATATTAATATGTCCAAAATCATCGTAGGTATATCACATAAACCTAATTTTACGGATAATAATGATTCTAAATTATTATTATTGTTAAGAATAAGATGAATACATTTTAAGTTTATTAATTCTGAAATTCCTCGGTTTAAATTCCAATTTAGATGCTTGAAAATGTTCAAAAACGTTATCCATTAAACGATTTCTAGTAAAAAGTGAGCCCCTCTTTCGAATAAAGTAAGTTCGTAAATCACACGAAAATCAAAGTACTTGATTGGTCTACTCTATGGTTTTAAAGTAAACTTGAGAAATTAAAAAAACCAGAATATTTGAATATACGCATTATAAAAGGATGAATCTGAGCACGGTTGGTAAGTCTTTATGTAGTTTATAAATGGAGGTGTATACACTATACATAGTAGTGACAAAGGCCACCACATACTGCGTATGTAAACGACGCAAATACGCGAACATTATATTAAACTTCTAAAATATAGGTCCCTACACTATATGCTACCACCATCTCTACCACTATTATACCACATTCCACCGCATGTATTATACTTAAATATTTATTATTATTATTATTATTATAGTCGAGTATATATTGGAATAATGGAATTTACTTTCGGCGATGAAAAGGCCGCCGTTGAAAAGGTAAGATCCGCTTTATGCCGCCTGCACGGAGTTCATTGTCGGCGGTGTCGTCTTTCTCGAACGCTTCATTAATTTTCTATTCCAGCGGGCAATTTTTATTTCGCTCTTCGATATATTTTATTTATTTA